TTACTACAATTACCAGTTGGATCCACTTGCATAAGTGTAATTTTATTTCAGTGATACAAAGATTGCAAGAAAACATATTTATAGATTTGAAAAAGTATGTACCTGTACATTGAAGAACTGCCTTGGGGTGACATCGTTGTACGAGCCCAACACTGCAAATAAAACATAAATAAAAAAGGATGCAGAGTCTTTAAATTATACCAACATCATACCAGGACAAACCCAAAGCACAAAAGTAACTCAGAGAAAAATGTATGTGTGTTTTATCTGCATTTCAGAGACCTGGTTTACACATGTGAGATTGTAAGTTGGCTGACCTCTGTATTCATAAAGGTGACTGTTGGGTATAGGGCGCTTCCACACTCTGAAATCCTTCTCCTCCATCACCATTTCCCAGCCAGTTTCCAGTTGTCCAGACACTGTCCCCGAAGCTGTATTTAGACATTTTGCAGCATCCAGTGCCTGCAGCTCAAGTCCACACCTTCCAAAAGGCATACCAATAAACAGGACAGGTTGTTTACCATGCTGCACAGTCCACATCACAGATCCTAGCCACATGAAATACAGTACACATACAGATGGATGACAAATTAAAGGAGCCAATCAGAGACCCAGTCATCCACCAGTATGTCAAGGCACAAATACATGCATATGTGCATTTAAAGAAAGATTTCAAACCTGCGAATTTCCTCATCTTGAATCTTCTCATTGTCCCACATGAAGACGCCAGCCAGGGCCGCGACAAGTTTCCCAGCAGGGGCGTGCTTGCTCTGGAATCTGCGCCATATGTTCCCAACCAGGGTCCACCTGGTCCGCTCGGAGTACAGGTTGGAGTAAAGCTCGCCGATCTGACAAGCACGCCGGAGCCTCTGTCCGGTCACAAAGCTGCAGTGGTCCGCAAATATGGACAGCAACCCCTTCTTCTTTTGGCCAGATCTCGCGGCCTCCCCAGCGCCGACACTTGCCCTCTGGAGCCAGGACAGCAGCAGGCCCACCCATGGGACCTTCTCAAGCTTTGCCCTGCCCTCCTCCACAGTCCGCCTGAATGTCTCGGTGCTTTGAAGTCTCATTGTGTTTACACCGATGTCGCAGATCGGACGACGGGGAACCGAGTGAAACATGACAGCTGTGTGACGGTGGCAAGTTCCCAAAAGGCAAAATGAAAAGCAGTCAAGTTCAGTAATGATAGTTAGCTAACGAACACCGCAGTCGTCTGCAGAGATGCACCATGCATTAACTTTAAACCGATGATTACACAGACTCCTGGCTAGTAAAAAAATCACGCTTTTACTCTGGTTGTAACGTCAGTGACCGAGCTGTGTACGAGCACATGTAGCTTTGACGTTAGCATCAATATTAGCTAACGTTATCTCTAAGTGCCTGCTACTGCGACACGGACATAATACAGCGCGACACCGCCGCGCGTTATTTCTAAACGGAGACTTTAAAAACGGCGGTGTGAACGATGTGGTCTACTGTAACATGGTGGTCTACCTGTGTGTCTTTCCTGGAGACAGCTTCACGTTTTGGCAAACTCCTGCAGAGCATTTGACCTCGTCTTGCTGCTGCTGCTGTCTCTCTCTCACACCCACTCGGAAGCCCCGCCCACTAACTGTACAGCGGGCGTTCATTGGACGGTTGTTGTTCAGGGAGACATTTGATTGGTCGTTGCGGGTGCCTGTCTGAAACGTAGCTGCTCAGGGCGCCAGCATGTGCGCCAGTCCGGTTTTACGTCTCTACAAAGAGCTCCAGTTTCCTTCGATAATCTGGGATCAGATTTTGAGTCCCAGGCTGTCCGGGTTTAGTAGGAGATGGTGAGTTGACAAACCTGGTCCAGGATCAGTGTCTACGCAAAGATGAACCCATACAGGAAGTTAGAGTCGCCCCCCGGTGGTACTGTTCAAAGGCGAAAAGTCAAAAGTGTCACCACGTGTGTTTTTGAGTTGAAAAGATCTGTTACGGTCATTGGTTACAACATACAACATTACACAAGGACAAGAGTTACCCTGTTTTGGGCTAAATTAAACTATTTTATTGGCTTATATGTGTGTTATTGACTAGAGACAATACTTTCTACATTGTTCTTGCAGTGACCTTTCTGATGTTACAGTTTAAAAACATTTCACCCAAATTACTATTCTTATAAAACTCTTATTTCGTTCTTTAGGTATTACTTTGTGTTGTCACTGGTAAAAGAGGAGTGGCTGTTAGAGAAAGTAAGTGGAAGTATTTTGGGGGGGTTTAAAAAAAAGACTTTGACATTGGAAACATATATAAAAAGATATAGGTGGAAAAATACATTTTAATTATGTATATACTGTGATGTAATTCGAGTAATATACACCAGGTGGCAATGTTTAACCACGCAGAGAACAACAAGCACTATTGCCACAGATAGAATTCAGTATATCTGTTAGGAGTTATTTGTTTAAAGTTAAAACTTACACAAATGAAGTTTAAAAATATGTAAATCAGACAGAGAACTGGGCTCAGTGGTTCTGATCAACAGAGATATACAATGTACTTCACATCGAAAAGGTTGTATGGTATAATTAGACTACCAAGGAATCAATAGAAGCATCTAATGTACTGCATTTCCCTTTGTCCAACCCTGTCATTAGATCATGCATTCAGCCATCCATTCAATTAGCTTGTGCTGCCTAACATGTCAAAACAAAACGTATAAAGAAAAATAGGCCAGAGGTAATAAAAGTAACCTAAATATTAACATATCAGTATTTTTTACTACAGTGTCATTATATTGATGAAGTGGGTGTAAGGAGGAAAATAATGGATTTAACCTTCCAGGCCCTGTGTCAGTTTGAATCATCACATTTTAATTCAAAGTCATCTGCATCTTGCTCATGAAAGCTGTAAAGTATTTCATTATTATAAGACCATAAGGCAATATGGGTTTTTTTTTTTTAAAGAACACTATCTCAGTTCAGCAAAAAAATCCACACAAACACTGGTTTTATATCCCAGAGAGTTATAGTTCCAATATTTATTTAGGCTATATATCTACCATATGTAGTTATTAATATATGTATATATTATATGTAAATAAATAACTGCATATATTTTATTCTAAATAAAAAGATTTGTTTATGTGCTTTATGTGTGTAGCATGAAGGGTCTTACTACTTATATTTTGTTATGCAACCATGTGTAACTTTACTTTATTGGTTATTCAGAACTGTAAGTGTGGAAGTAAGAAAAAAAACAAATGGCAGTAAAGGTGAATCCTGATTATCTAATCAGTCGAGGTCACTTCTCTGTAACTGCCCGTTGGTTACTGGCAAGGGAGCAAACAAAGAGGGTTAATATTAGGGTGAGTAACTGCTGAGTTTGCCTCAGGAGGGAGTTAAAAAAGATGTAAATTATTTATTTAGAAGTTACAAATAGATTTCTGGAAACTTCGCGTGTAAAACTCCCCGATTGAGAGGCTTTGAAACAGACGCAATCGCCACTCCCTCCTTTTGTGAACATGCTGCCTTCATGTGCTAAGACAAAAATCGTAATTACCAGCGCTCAATAGATAGGGAATGGGAAAATTTTCCACGATCCTCAAAAGAGCTGACGTCAAGTAGGAAGAGACAATGAAGGGAGGGACATAATAATAATATTTACGTGTTGTTATTTCAACATTAATCCACGTAAGTGATTAAATTGCCTACTGTGGTGTGTTCAAGGAATTCTCACTGTTTGTCCTCGTTGCGAATACAAAGACGTTTTGGCTAGACAATTAATCAGCCGAACATAATTTGCGATGCTTATTGAGCACTTCTGACATTCAAAAATGTCCCGTCTCCCTCTCTTAGACATAACAAAACAATATTCACCAAAGAAAACGACTTTTGTTGGAGGGTTAATGTTATTATTTCCGGACGCTGCACTACAATAACTGACAAGTCTTCTGTTCGGTTAACATCACCACCTCCGGGTGTTTTCCTGCACTGTTGTTTGGTGACATTGTTTCCCTTTGTTGTGAGGAAGAGCAATGGTTACCAGGGGGCAACTGTGGTTTGTGTAAAGTAATCTATACGCTTTCAAAGTTATGTTTGAAATGTGGTCACATGACATTTTGGCACGATACGGTTAGTTTTATGATGTAGATAATAGGGAAATAGATAGTACACAAGCAGAGGAAGTATTCAAATCCTTTACCACAGTGGATAAACACTCCAAAAGTTATGTATTCAAAATGTGAATGGAGTAAACATACAAGTATTAGCAGTAAAATGCATTTAAAGTATAAAAAGTAGTCGTTATGCAAAAAGAAGCTAAGTATTATTCTTTTTTAATTATTAATTAAGTTGTATTTTATGTTAAACAAATGGCAATTCCTTGTATTTTATAAGCGTATCATATATTTTGCATATAATTATACACATACAAATGTCCCTCTTAAATGCAGTTCAGTGTATATATAGAAGCATACAATTGAAATACTTAAATACAAGTTCCTTACACGAGTTAATGTACTTACTTATTCCACCACTGCACACAATACACAGGAACAGATATGGAAGTATAAACACACATATATGTGCATATATTGAATATACAAGTATGTGAGTAAAGTACCCTAACCCCTTATACTACAGAAACTGATATCAAATGTATGCGTTATTTAAGTAGCAGTATGAAGGAATATAAAGAAGTAATCCTGTAACGTTAGAATAATAATAATAATAATAATAATAATAATACGGACTGTATTATTCCACTGAGCCACGCACTGAACCACGCACTGAACCACGCACTGAACCACGCACTGAGCGCATGGTGAGTTAAATAAAATAAGAAAAAGAGAAAGAAGTGTTGTTGACAGCGGGGCGGTGCTTCCTGAAGGGTGTATCCAATAAAGAAAGAGGAAGAAGTGTTGTTGACAGCGGGGCGGTGCTTCCTGAAGGGTGTATCCAATAAAGAAAGAGGAAGAAGTGTTGTTGACAGCGGGGCGGTGCTTCCTGAAGGGTGTATCCAATAAAAAAAAGAAACCCCTGTTCTCGACCGGCACGAGCAAGTTGTACACATGCGGCAGTGACGCTCTCATTCAAACTGAGACGTTTCTGGATTTGAACTCACGGACTTATTTCACATCAAATCCGATAGGCATACATAGGGGGGTGTTTTTTCCCGGTGTAGTCACTTTATTTTTTAACGTAAAGGGAAGTTTGTTTTGTTTTTGAGGAAGATATATTTCTGACTCACTATCCCGCGCGCGCTACCGTTTGTCCGCGCGCTAATTAGCTTACCGGCTAGCGAGCACTATTCTCCAGGATCGATAACTGCAACGTGTGGTAAGTTTTTAACCATTCAACACTTTCTGTCAGAATAAAAGAGCTTTCTTTTCGGTTTATTCGCCGACCGCCGTCACTAACAGGTTGACGTTAACGTAAACATTAAAGCCGGAGTGACGAGGCATTGTGCTACGTATGCGACAATAATAACGACGATCTGTTCGCTAGCTAGCACAAAACCATAAAACAATAAAAAACATAAAAACAATAAAAACCATAAAAACCGAGGCTGAACGTTATTAAACATGTTAGTTTCACCGAGGACCGACGGGTGATTTGGAGGTTGTTACGGTTGTGTAACGTCTGGCTCGAACCGGAGGGTAACGACGCGATGAAGACTTTCGTTCCCCCGTTAATATTAACTCACCCAGTATTGACCATCTGTCAGCACACACACACACACACACACACACACACACACACACACACACACACACACACACACACACGAGGACAACTGCTCATCCAGTCAGCTGGAGGTAACTTAAACTTAAAAAAAATAAAAAAATGCGACACCTTTTATAGCCACCGACAGATAAATGTTTTAACTCTCCACTCATCCGTAAATCATAATATTTGTGTGTTAAATCTACCAGCCACTTTCATTTTTTTTAACCAGCATCTGTCCGGTGCTTTATTTCCCATTCCGGTTGCGCCCCCTTTCTACGAAGATCCACGTCAAACGTATTGAGACGGAAGCGATTGGGCACATTACCTCAGCCTATTACAGCGGATACAACTACAAATGAACCTCCTAATGTCCTAATGTGAGGTCTAGACCTTTGTATAAAGTGTGAATGGTTTAAACCCGGTGAGCTGTTTCTGCTCGACGTTCGCGTGAAGCCCTATGAGCAGCCGGGCTCGTGCTCGGGGCTGTGTTCTGTGAATGGATGAGACACGTGCGCACGCAGGAAAGGATTAAGATGTGATCAAGATGTCCTTATGTCGTAACTGCACGGGCAAGAGTGCTCGACAATAACTGCAGTAAAGGATTAAAACAAGTGAAGTGTCTTGAGTACAATCAGAGGAAGCGGGAGTATTATGAGCTCCGGTTTCTTCATGCGACACAACCAAAAAATGGCTTCCATTCGAGGTTTTAGGATAGGCAGCTATTGGAGGTCCTCCTTCCGGTTTAAGCGTATACTACGGGTTTTTCCACGCTTTTGACGTCGTTTTTTTTTTTAATCGTATCCAGCCTTTAAAGAAGCTGATATCCCTGTGTGAAACCCTCCGTACTTTACTTTTTATAAGTGTTGTCAGTTTGTTTTCTGTCTGCTTTTACACGGAGATGAACTGTTATTAAAGTGGGGCCCCTTTTTTCTGTCTTTTGTCCCCTTTTTTTTTTCCAGGATGTACCCCTGCTCATCTGCAGTTACACTTGCACAATGGCTGTCTGTTCACTCTGCTTAATAGCTCTGCACCAAAGACACAGCAACAGATCTAGTTTAATTACAGGATAGCAATAAGCCCACACTATACCTCTGTTTACCTTAATTGTTTTCTGGTCAGTTCCAGGTAAACATATCACAAGTTTGCACTGCTAAATCTCAGAAAGCCTGTTTAAACAGGTGGGCCTTAAGAAAATTAAATTATTTATTTTACCGTTTACCTCTTAATTTTACTAGCTGCTGCTTAGAAATAGCATTAATTAAATAGCTATTTTGACAGGCATTCATTCCCTTTAAGATTGTGAAGTAATTCCTCTATAGTCTACAATCATGGTTTCAACAACTGCGACTGCAATAATACTGGCCAGCACAGTAGGGCTAGTGACCCAGACTGCTCTGACAGAGTACATGTGGCTGCTGATTGTCGGCTTCATCATCGCCTTCATCTTAGCCTTTTCCGTCGGTGCCAATGATGTTGCAAACTCATTTGGCACAGCTGTGGGCTCTGGAGTGGTCACCTTGCGACAGGCGTGCATTCTGGCCACAGTGTTTGAGACTCTGGGCTCTGTGCTTCTTGGTGCCAAAGTCAGTGAAACCATCCGCAAGGGTATCATCGACGTGGGCATGTACAATGGATCTGAGCACGTGTTGATGGCCGGATCCATCAGTGCCATGTTTGGTGAGTATCAGTAGCTTATCTTGTATGTAATTAGACCTACGGTCATTGAACCCAGCGAACAAAGCTTGGTGGCAAGTAGGGCTTGGCACTGTTTGGTTCTTACAACTAGAAAACCTAGATGTCATCTAACACCTGGTAATAGGACTTTAACTAACTGTGGAAATAATTGAATCATCTTAACACAGTTTTTGATTTATTGGAAAGATTGCCCAAACTTTCTGATTCCAGTTGTCACACCACCCAAAATCCATATGTCCTTTTTGCCCCTGCTGTCTAAAAAGAGATGTGGAAAACCTAAGAGGTCAGCATGTTCAGTCTAATGTGATCAATTTATTTATTCTCATTAGGTTCTGCTGTGTGGCAGCTGGCCGCCTCCTTCCTTAAGCTCCCCATCTCTGGAACACACTGCATTGTTGGTGCTACTATTGGCTTCTCGCTGGTTGCCAGAGGCCAGCAGGGAGTCAAGTGGCTTGAACTCCTCCGTATCGGTAAGTCAGACACGCTAATCAGTTGACCTAGAAATGTCCACAGTGTTTGGTTGAATTGCATCACAAACTATATCAATGTAATGGCAGGGTGTGACCGATAATGTAGCGTTATCATAATACATTAGCCAGTGTTTTGTCTGTGCTGAGGACCTTCAATATCCAGGTCAACATTCCAGCGTTAGAAATTTATGAATGCCGTTTCCAGGTCCAGAGGTAAACATACAAGTATGGCATGTAGTTGATTTTCTAAATCTGTATGTAGTATTGAAGTGGGCTGTCCAGGTGTGACATTTGATCAGCCCTCAAAGCATGTGAACATGAGTCAATTTTACTCACAGCTTTACAGAAATGTACAGCAGCAATACTAGTTTCACAAGTTGTTTCTCATATGTGTTGCATTAGTTGGGGGATTTCAGGTCTATGTTCCCCTCTAGAAAAGCCGAAACCTGATGTAAACCAAACTACTTGCATTTTTTGAAAAACTCTGAATGTCAAATAATAAAATGTATACGTCATTCAGGTATGGCAATGGCCTGATATTTTACACTGAGGTCTCGGTAAGAAACCTTATTTATTAAACAGCTGAATGAAGTGTGAAAAGGTCGCCATGTTGCCAAAATAGCCAAACGCTCTCCACTTTACCAGTCACATTTCCTAGAAAACAAACAGTAGTGCATTTCCTAGAAGAAAATTATTATTTTCAAACAAGAATAGAACAGTTTGTTTTGTGATTAGAATAGTCAGATATTACATTCCCACTGAATGTAATGCTCATATTTCTTTAATTTGCAGTTGGTTCCTGGTTCCTGAGTCCCCTTTTGTCTGGAATAATGTCAGGCATTGTTTTCTACTTTGTGCGCATGTTCATCTTACGCAAGGTAAGCTGGCTATTATCAAACTGTAGCTAGTAATGTGAGTGAGAAAAGAACCTTCCGGAGTAATCATGTCATTTATGATCCGTTTCAACGCTGTACTGGTACATGCTCAAAATGAAATTGAGGAAACGTTTGTGACAAGAATGAAGCTACTGTTCTCTGAAGCAGTTCCTTATTTGCATCATACAGCACAGTTCTAATTACCACCATGCCCTGTAACCTGACAGCAAAATGTGGCATTTCTGTTTGTACATTTTCTGACTTTTCTGTGCTCTGTTTTGTCCCTGTAGAAAGACCCTGTGCCTAATGGATTGAAGGCCCTGCCTGTCTTTTACGCCATAACTATGGGAATTAACCTGTTCTCCATCATGTTCACTGGAGCTCCGAGTGAGTATCATTGTTAAAGTCATTTTGCTCTGCATGTCAGCCCACAACCACAGCTTAAAATAAACTGCTCCTTCAGACAGCCAAATGCCCACATGTATTCCAGACTGAACCAGACTGTTTACCATTTTCACAGAAGCTGTTTATTTTAACATGTTTTTTAGGGGGGGATCTCTTGCTTGTGGTTCTATGTGGGTCATAGCTGGAATGAAGTTTTAGAGCGGAGCACAACAGGGAGATGGAAATAAGTTTTCACTTAACTCTTGACGTCACTGTCTGCCCTTCAGACATGAAGGAGGAAAAGAGAAGTAAAGAGGGTGTTTGAAATGGTCATAGTTGTGGTGTGATGCTCTGAATTGTTCTTGTTGGCTTTTGGTCTTTCAGAATCTCTTCATTAAATGAGCAACTTTTGCTCCTTGTGTTTTCTTCTCTCTACAGGGCCTTAAAGTTCAAGATGTTAGCCGGCCTGGGCCATTAAATGGCTGCTACAGGCCAGAGTTTGACCAGATATGGTGCGCTGATGTGTGCATGCACATCAGCAGCACACTCACAGAGAGGAGATCACTTGCAGTTCCAGCATAGCCCATAACCCTGCGTAGTCAGGCACATTCTGTACAGTTGTGTGAAGTCCCTCACACCTCAACACACTGTACATGAGGACCTGTACTTGGGTACCTCACGTTAAAAAAAAAAAAAAGGTGCGAAATTGCATTTCAAACACTCTAACAAACTCAGTTGGGAAGTTGGGAATTAGAGTTTCATCTTATATTTTTTATATTAACATGGGCATCCATATATTTTATATAATGTAAATGAGGACAAATTGTCACCACATACACAGGCTTATTGTGAAATCGTCAATGCTGCAGTGGAACCGGTTTAATATCAGGATAATCATAGATTCCTGCATGAAGAATTTCCCAAAACATGGATCACAGCTAATTCACTATCCATTGATAACGTTGTTGACACCCCATGTTTAATTTGGGCTCTCATACTATACTACACTAGCACAATGGACCACAGCAGCTCACTATTGCTGATATATGCACTCTAATGCAGTGGTATCTGCAGTTAGCTGAGTACAGTATGTTTGGTTTCCTGTGATAGAACTCTGCGTTCCCCTGATCTAGATCCTATCATAGTGGTGCGATTGGACACCAGGCATCCCACAGCACATTCCTATACTCAATATACACACAAGTGCCAGACCTCAAGTCAGCATGTGTATGCAACTTGGGTCAAAAGAATTTGAGGGTCAGCTGTCGATCCTTTACAGATGAGGCTTGGTGTTCTTCACACATTTTATAAATCACTCGGCTGTCAGTCCACGGTGGCTACATTCATTGTAAGATGAAGATCTACCCAGAAACAGAACTATGATATAATTCTTACTCTTAAATTCCACGAATGTCAGCTGGACACAATAAAACTATAAAATCACTGTCAACTCTTCTAGACCCAGAGATGTTGGGATCCCTACATCTCCTGATTTTGTCCTGTCCATTTGCTGGCCTTGAGGGAAAATGTCACAACCTGTTTTGTTTGATATGCAGGTTGAAACAAGTTTATTGGCAAACTAGTGTATGTTTCAAAGTGCTGCGTGTCATACTGACAGTACATTTTGACCTCTCCCACCACCCTCAATTGATGCACTTCAATGCTTTAACTGGACTGAAAGTTTCTGCCTGGGTTACCCTCTGAAAAACAAACCACTGGTGGCGTTGGTTACTTTGGGGACACCAAACAATCAACATGAAGTTGATACTCATTTCTCAGTATACATGACTTATTTTAACCAGAGCCATTGTCCTGAAACAAAATATTTAGTGTCTTCAGAGGCTGCTGTTGTCATGGTTAAATACTTTATTGTAAGGAGTCAACATTGGGCTTACAGATCCCTTCAGTGCTGTCACTTAATCCTAATACTGTAAGCGCTTCACTGGGTCCCAGACAAAAGTGAGGAGAAATAGCCAAATGTTCTTTGCCAAGTGAGTCATAAACTTCTACTTTAACTGTTATTGTAATTGAGGTTAGTGGTGAGCACATATATAGTACTGGGTAAAAAACAACAAACCATGTTATTGTGTAATGTAGGCCACGGGATACAGAGGTTACAGGGAGGGGTTTGGAACGCAGCCGTGGTTAAATTCAATTTCCTGTGCAGTCCTATTCATCCCACTGCATGGCTGTGTCATAAACTCACCCCTTTTGTGTGGGAGTGTTTATCAGACCGCTAGACCTAGGCTAGTTTTTAAATCCCCTCTTTTATAATTTGTCACGGTGACTTCAACTCCTTACAAAGAGTATTCACGTGAATGCTGTCAGGCCCCCTTTGTGATTTTCAGGGTTGCTTTTTTGTCAGTTTTTAATTTTGTTGAATTCCCTTGAGTGTCACCACACAGTAATGGCCAGCTGAATCACCTGTCTCCTGATGTCCCACTACATGTGAGCCGATGTACTGTAGTGGGAGACAGGGGCCTCAGCTGTTACAGAGCTGTCTTCCGGTTTTCCCTATTATGCCTCTCGAGTCCTGGAGGGAGTGAGCTTCCATTGCATAACTAAATAAACATCAGTTAGGTGCGCTGCAGTCTCATGCTGCAGCGTGACTCAGTGGAGAGGGTGCACTGTGGACTCTGCCCTCAAGTGAACACGGCGACCGAGACGCTTATCACTTAGCCTTGGCGCTCATTTCCTTTTTGTTTATCTTAAACTTCCCAAACAGTCCTAAGCTAGTGGAAGTGTTGTTTTTTTTGTTGTTCACAGGCAAGGTCATCTCACCAGAGGTGTTGGAATTTTCAACAGCTCCTGTTTTTGTTTTCTCCTAACCACACTGCTGACTTGCATCCTCTCTGTATGACAAAGATGACTGCTTCCCAAGGGAAATTTAAATTGTTGCTTTCTGCCAGCATGTGCTGCATTATATTCTTCCTTTGTTGCACTAGCTTTACTGCAGTCTTGGCAAGAGGGTGCCCTTATTGCTACAGCAAACAGCTCCAGTGAACGACTCCCCCTTTCTTTTCTCCCTTTCTCCTTTAAGTAATATTGCCTTTTAAGGAACTCATTGTCTATGTTCAGTGTTAGCAGGGCATTTAGGGGTCATGAAGACATTTTTGCTCTTTCACCTTTTAGGTGTTGCATAACTGTTCACAACTAGGGGTACATATGCTTAACATATTTAACTGGGATATGGCACAATGAGGCAATGCAGTCATGTTTGGAATGTTACCAACTGGAGCCAAAAGATGACCGGCATGGTCACATGTCATAGAAGTTATTTCTACAGTTCATTTTCATTAATTGGTGACTTCATGTTTTAGAAATGAAAAGTTTCTCCTTATATGACCTCATGTTGTGTTACATTTTTACATAGTTTGGTATCTCAGTCAATGTTCTGTGTCCACTAAGAAAGGTAGCACCCGCTGCCTTGTTTTTAAAACTGCCTTTCTCTATTTGCCTTTGTGTGTCCGTGGCACCTGGCGGTCCTTCAGTGCTGGGATTTGACAAGATCCCTTGGTGGGGCACCCTGCTCATCTCGTTGGGCTTCTCTGTGCTGACCGCCCTTGTGGTCTGGTTTATTGTCTGCCCTCACCTCAAGAAGAAGATTGAACGTAAGTTGCATTTATGTTTTTGATTTTGGGCAACCTGCTGACTTAGTGGGGGATTTAGCATTGCACATGTGACCTCAACCTATTCACACTGCAGGCTCACATTAATCTAGCAAATGGAGCTCAGGGATTTTTTGACATAATGGAGTCACTGTAATGAAAATCATCCAAAAACATTGTCACCAGTTTTTTGTTCTGTAATCCTGGATTAAAGTAAAAATCCAAGAGCTATCCGCATTTACACACCAGTAGTGTGGTTTTGGTGTTGAAGCAGAACACTATCATTTCATCCTTCATTATGAATGTTTTGTACTTCCCTCTATTGTTAACGATACAATGCTTTTGTATTTAGTGTTCCTTCACATCAGGTGCTGTCTTTGTTACTGCATTAACAATATATTAGTGCAGGTATTGTCAACCTGTCAAGGGTTGTCTCTTACGGTAACAAACAGCAGGTGTATCTGACCAAGCATGATCTGTCTAAATCAGCCACCACCCAGTAGACAAGCAGCCTAATTGGGTCAAAGTGATCCACTAATTGGTCTTTACCTCCTTTACTAAAATAAACCTAGGTTGACTAAAGGTGTTGACCTGGTATTTGCAGTACATGTGTGGGTAATTGGCTGCTTCAGCGGCTTTGACCGTGTGAATCATGCAATGTGGCCAACTGGTCAGAATACTTGTAAGATTATTGCATTGAAAATATTGGCATAAAGTATCTGATTCACTTTAAAACCACAAACAAATGTCATGTGGCTGTGTTGAGTCTTATCATCTTTCATAAGTTAAGCTGCTAGCGGTAGTGTAAATATGTTCCGTGTAAGGACATAATCCATTTATCTGATCCTGTGAACACTGGCTCGCTTTTGAGCACAGATAACATTGCGTTTATAGGACAATGAGTTTTTTTGACTCTGGTTATGCAATTCCAATGACTCCCTACAGCTTGGGTTGAAAGGAAACACATGTGCTGCTAATATTTCTCTGCTGTACTGTATATGTTTGGACATGATCCCAGCAATATGTCACACCATCTCCTCCCCTACTAGGAGATATCAAGTCTTCCAGCCCCTCTGAGAGCCCCCTGATGGAGAAGAGGGAGCTGAGAGAGGCCCACTGTCCAATCCTGAAACAGACCGCCAAGGAGACATCTACGCCTCCCGCCGCAGCTGCCAATCAGAACCCCTCTGCTCAGCCCCAGGCTGCCCCCGAGGAGCGCAGGGTGGCATTTGACATTGGAGATTCTGACGATGTTGACAATAATAAGGAACGCAAGGTGGCGTTTGACATTGGAGATTCTGATGACACAGATTTCAGTATTGCAAATGGTGGTAAGTATGCCAAGAAATGTTGTGTGATGTGTAATGGAAATATAACTCTTCTGCAACATATATGATCATGAAATGACGCACATGAAGTTGATACAACTTAAGATTTTAATTTATCTTTTTCTTCTTTTTTTTTTTTTTTACCCTTTTCTGCAGCACCCAAACAGGTTCAATCAAACAATCAGGTCCAGGCCAACAACCAGCAAGTCCAGAACAGTAATGGTTCCACAAATGCTTCCAATCAGGCCCAGTTCAACAGGCCGGCACAGATGCCAAGTAACGGTTACAGCCAGTACCACACAGTCCACAAGGACTCCGGACTCTACAAGGACCTACTCCATAAGCTGCACTTGGCCAAGGTTGGTGACTGCATGGGCGAGGGGGGTGACCGGCCCATCCGTCGGAACAACAGCTACACCTCCTACACCATGGCCATCATCGGCATGCATGGAGACTTCAAGCATAAAGAAGGTGACTTCCGTGCCAGCGAGGATGGCGACAAAGGACCAGTGTCCGGTTGTCAGGAAAGGAAGCGCGTGCGTATGGACAGTTACACTAGCTACTGCAATGCTGTGGCGGAGCACACAACTCCTGAAGGTCTGGGAGAGGTCGATGTGACACTAGAAATGGGGAAGGAGGATGCAGGTAGCAGCCAAAGCTCTCTGGATGAAGATGGTCTTGAGGCAGACAAGCCAGAAGTCTCAACTCTGTTCCAGTTCCTCCAAATTCTCACTGCTTGCTTTGGATCCTTTGCTCATGGAGGAAACGACGTTAGGTATGCAGACTCCTTCATGAAGGCCATGTTATTATCAGTCATTGGGCTAATGGATAACGCTTTTTGTTTTTCTGGCATGTTGTTGGCAACATTTTTAATCACCATTCAACTCAAAATCAGAATCTTTGTTAGCACTGTTAAAATAATCATCTTCTTTCCTCTGCAGTAATGCTATTGGACCATTGGTAGCTCTGTGGTTGGTTTACACAACCAGCAGTGTGACTTCAAATGAACCCACACCCATTTGGCTGCTGCTGTACGGTGGCGTGGGTATCTGCGCTGGACTCTGGGTGTGGGGTCGCCGAGTGATCCAGACTATGGGCAAGGACCTTACCCCCATTACCCCCTCAAGGTATAGACTCCACAGACAGTGCAGAGCCTGTTTCTCCTTAGTCATACACCCACATCCTTTTCAGACATTACCAGTCTTTGAATTTTAGCAAGCATGCTCAGACACATCCACCTGAGAGACATGAGTGTTGTTGTTTTTTCCCTGCAGTGGTTTCAGCATTGAACTGGCCTCAGCCCTGACTGTCGTGGTAGCCTCTAACATTGGCCTGCCTGTCTCCACCACCCACTGCAAGGTAAGCTGGTCAAACATGTGGTCTGGGAACTAGACTGAGACACGGGGGAAGAGACTGTTTAGTGTGAGGGAGGCTACAGTAAACAGGAATCCAGTCTGGTAGACAATCCAAATGTGGAACAACTCCCCCCATAATAAAATCTTACATTTTAGTTATGCAGACAGATCATATGAATTCATACATTTAGGGAAGATGATGGGGTTTATCTGACAACTGCTCTGTTTCCAGGTGGGCTCTGTGGTTGCAGTAGGATGGCTGCGCTCAAGGAAGGCAGTCGACTGGCGTCTGTTCAGAAACATCTTCATGGCGTGGTTTGTGACAGTGCCCATCTCTGGCCTCATCAGTGCCGCCATCATGGCCATCTTCATCTATGGCATCCTGTGAGCATAGGGCTGCACCCCGAGCAGGGGAGGAGAAAGAAAACCGCTCTAGTGCGTACAAGAAGAAAAGGAGTAAAGTTGGAAGGCCAAAATATATCGCTTACCTCAAGCCAACAACTTTGGAAGAAAAAGGAAAAAAAATTGAAATGTTTGAAAGGACTTGTGATATGGGCCTGTGGTTCTTGGCTGCATCATTTTCAACCTAGAATTTGTTCCAGTTGGGCCACATTACTTCCAGTGGGAAGCTTGCATTTCTTTATTCTGACTTGCTTTTTCATATCTCATCATTCTGTAAAGAGTTAATCTAAAAGCATCAACTGATTATTTTTTTTCTAATACTCATTCTTCCATTTTTTTTTTTACTTTGCAATTATGTACATATACAACCATGCTCTGTTTTTAATTTTGTTTTACACGTTAGAAAGAAATGAACAATTAAAATGCAGTATTAGCCTTTGCAGATGTAACTCTCCAGTCATAACATATGATGAAAGTAACGTAGATGCAAAAGGAGTATTTTTAGGTGGAAAACAAGGTTATTGGTGTGTCTGTGCGTGTTTTTCCCCAATTCCAAGTATTTGTTATTGATGAATTATTATTTTGCATCTGGCTTCCTCATATCCCATAAACTGGGACATTTGTTTTTCCTTTCTCTGGTATAGAACAAATTTGACTTTAAACTCATTGTAAATTCAGAGAGGTTGGTGGCAGTGTTTTCTGCCATACTTAAACGATGTGATTGCGTTCACAGCACTGCAGGTTTGTCTCTACAACGCAGAGTTATCTGAATAATTTACTATGGTAGAAGCACTAATTGTACACACTGGATGGCTGCCTGCAGAATGATACTGTATCATTAGCATAAGAAGTCAACACACTTCTGCAAGGGAATGAAGAGGCCCTAATCTTTGAAATCAGGGGACTATCTGTGATCGAGTTCGCTCATCAGAATATCCTGAGGCTCTACATTCTTGATCAGCGCAGATATAAACTGCCTGAAATTACTTGGTTACTTGAATTTGAGAAATGTAACAGCAGAATGTCACCTAATGCAAACGTGTTGTCTCAAACAAGCCCTCAAGTCTCCTGTCAACACTTGATTGCATCATCCTTGATGGTTAAATGCTTTAGCCTTGTTTTACTAGTTCACCTCATACGGGCTACTTCCCAGTATTTGGGTTTTTCTTTGGAATCTGCACCTACCTGGACATTCGGGTTGCTCTCGCTTTCCTTTCTCCCCCGGCCCAGAAAAATCTGAACAAAGCTGTAAATCAGGAGGAACAAAAACCTAAAACTGGAAGTTATCTAAGATGGGTGGTTTGGTGTTGAGCTGATCTCTTGTTTGAGTGAGGGCGAACATACGTTGCATGCCACCAGTGCGTGGTCATTTGGCTGCAGTATAAATGCATTTCAGATCTATAGATGCTGTAGTTGCCTTAATTGTTTAATTTTTTCACTTAGGTACCAAAGAAAAGAGTTTTTGTTTTGTTTAATTTTTTTTTATGCACATCAACACACTTGTGGAAAAAAAAAAAAGACAAATAAAAATTGGAAAACAATTTTGTTGAACTTGTTTTTGTTTACTTTTAAAGGAAAAGCCTTTGTTATATAACCCACACATATCAGGAAGTAGTGAAACTTTATACCTTTAAACTCTCAAAATCACGTGATACTCTGCGTAGTTCAGAAATACTGGACAACAGAAGTATTTTGGTAGAGGACGTTGCATGAAACAAAAGAGGACACCGGTTGTACAGATAGGTGGAATAGTTCCCTTTTTTATTGACTGTAAGCTCGGTGCTGCTCAGGCACCGGGTGATGAATCAGGATCCGCGTGTTTCTGTGCTCGCTCACTCCAGTACATCTGTGACGCAGGGACAGACACAGAGGATTCCTTTACGCTAGCTTTACATTGCAAACACACCACAATTCAGTAGTTTTCCAGGGCTCTCAAAGCAAGTGCATGAATAACAGCTCTCCAAGGTTTTTTGTAATATGACTCACTGCCCCTGCGCAGGTACTGATTGATGACTGCACCAGCATGTGGTTTTAATGCTATAGAGCACAAAGCAAGGCCAACTCTATCCCCAAAGGATTAGGATTTACTGCTTTACTGTTTTACACCAGTGCTTGAAGGCTTTTCTTCCTCCAACCATAAAGAATCATAAAGATGACCGTTATCACTGTGTTAATAACCTTGGATCAATTTTAAAACAATCCTTTCAGCATCTTTTAGGGCAGGGACAGTGCATCCTTGGTCCAAAAATAGCCAGAAGCAGATGATACAGTATAAATCAAGCACAATAAGCACCTGGGGACAGACGTCTCAGAGTGCCCTGGATTCTTGTCCTAGATCTGCGCACATACACGGAGGACTGTGTTCAAATAAACAATCCTAGCATCTTATTTTTAGGTCAAGCAGTATACCGACTTTGTCAAATCTGTGGTGACTCGAATATATCTCTAGAACATTTATGTCTGGATGCATAAAACTGGAAAGAATACCAGTTCTTGATTTTTTACAAGCTTAAGTTGTGCATTTGTAATTGCTCTTGGGGCATTTTACTGTTTACTTTTTCTCTGAACCCAGCCTATAAAAGGGTTTTAACACTATTTAAATCTAGCTGAGACTGGCTCTGACTGGCTCTGTTTTTCACTATCCGGTTCATTGCATAACCTACAATTTAACTCTCACTGTGTTGCTCAAAACAGTTCACCACATCTTGCCTCAGCAGGTACTGTGAGTCTACCTCAAAAAATGTTAATCACTGTCTCTGAACTCTTTATGGTGCGTGTGGCATTGAGAGGTTTTCACCTTGCTCCTTGGTTGAATCCTGACTGACTGCATCTGCAGGGGAAAAATAAGAAAATGGGGGGATTACAGCAAGTAGTTATAGTGTGTGGGGTTCATTAGTATATTGAGTTTTCAGTGGCCATTTTACTTCTTCTTACCCACACTGCTCACAGCCTCTGGCTTTGCCTCATGGTGCTCTGGGAAGACATTAAAATGAACTTTGAGTTTAAACAAAAGAACAGGACAGTTAAAGCTTTTAGATCCCTTTTGTTCATTCTATCTGTATCTAAATATTCTTTAAAATTGTTTAAACTGAAAATATTATTTGAAATTCATGAATATGAAGAAAGAAACATTCATTAAGTATTATTCACAGCTTGTATTTTAGTGTTTGAAACTTGATTGTAGTGTTTTTGTGTAAATCTACAGCACTTACCCCTCCTCTGTCTCCCTGTCGAATATAATAAATACAGAAATTGTCAGTGATAGAATGACAGAAGCTGAAATTACAGCTTTAATGTAGTGAAATCAACCTCACAAACTCACCGTCGACTTCCTCAGAGGACTCAGACTCTGATTCTGTGGACATCAGAGGAGACAAATCAGCCGCAGGATTGTGATATTTTACAGTGTACTTTGAGATCCAGTTTCAGACCTTCTTTCTAAACTGTCCTCCATTGCCATCTACAGGCTGATATTTAAACAGTGAAACCTCTGTTACCTTCACGAACTGGAGCGTCAGAGTTCCCACCTCTCTCTGCTGGAGGAGGAGGAGGAGGATTTTACAGTTATGTAATGCTCTCAAGATCACAAGTTGTCTGTTAAAGCCAGCAGGAGGTTTTATTTTACACACCTTTGCGGTCATCCACAGCTTCAATATGTTCCTCCACTGTTGGAAACGTTTCAACAAGTGATTCTGATATTTAACACACACCATCATTCATCGTGTGATTAAGTATAACTTACCGGATCCATCTTGAACAGCCTCTGTATGTAGAATATTGGAAAGATTGAATCACCCACTGCACCTGAATCAGCTGTTATTGATATGTTTTGAATGTGTGGTTCCTCTTACCAAGGTAGCGAGCGTCCTCATTCTGTTCCTCTGTAACTTCGCAGAAAAGGTAAAAAGATTAAAACTTGTTTTAAATGCAACAAAATGGATGAAAGGTATGTTTGCTTACGGTCATTGTCCTGGACTTTGGTCAAACTTACCATTCATCTGAGCCGCCTCATTCTTTTGAGCGGCCTCAAACTCCATCTGATCTAGAGACAGAGGGATACAATGAAATAAAACAGTTTGGACAGTTTGTGTAATAATGGAAGTGAAGAAATGTAGTGCTACAGATAAACTGATGAATTAATTAAATAAATTAATTCAAATAAATTGAGAAATTAAAGAAATTCAATAAAGGGGGCTTTAACAAACCAGTTTCCCTGTTTCATTATAAGACAAATTAACTCTTTTAGCCAGATGAATTCACATAGAACAGAATAAAAACACATAAAACATATAAAATATCAGTTTCAAAGTCAAGCAACAATTGGATACCTATTTTCTTCAGTTCAGTTAGCCCATCTGCATGAAAAAAAAATAAGATATTCGGGTTGAATTACATCAGTTTCGAGACATGCAAGTATCATCACCCTTACATAGCCTAATGATCATTTTTGATCAGTATTATTGATAATAATTCCTCACCGTGCTGAGAAACTACTTCCTCTTTCTCTGCAGATTCCAGAGAGGCTGATAGAGCTAGAAGTCATCACAAGTCCATCAGTGAGGTTTCAAATAAACACATAACTAAACCTTCTTACTCCTAAATAAGCCTGAATGGAGCAAATCAAGCAAATATGTACAAAAACAAACTAAAGACAGAAATTGTGTCCCCAGATTTGTACTTTTCCAGTTTCCATCAATAAGATCACCACATTTTATATTATAATTTAAATTCATTTGAAGATCATAATCATAACTGTTTATTCTTACCGGAGTGAAACGCTGCCACAGCGAGGAAAACAAATAGTGGCACTAGAAATCTCATCCTGGCTGCTGGTCTGGCTGCGGGGTTGAAGATTTTGGATGTCCCTTTCAAAACTGTGTGTTGTGTTGTTGTCGGTTTGCAGCCTCTTATATCTTCAGTCACATCACATGCCCACCCATGGACAGGCAGCTCTGGTACCATTGTCCCTCCCTACCTGAGAGGGCAGCTGGGTGGCACATCAGCACACAGACGTATCCTTATTCAGGCCGTCAATGCCCCCCATTGTTGGCTCTCCAGTCACACGGGCCTTTATTTGGGATGTTACTGTGTCTGTTTAAAAAAATAAATAAAATGGGAGTCCTTGCGTCCAAACTGAAAACAATGTTCATTTCCTTTTAGGAATGGAAATGGTGATTTCACCGCACATCCTTGGCTTATGAATGATGGGTCACAATGTCTCAGTGACACAATTCCTCACACAATCATGCAGATCAAAGAGAGAAAGCAAACAGCTGCAGCTACTGACGGGTTTTTTTTAACTCGTATCCTCGGGCCTCCGACTGGAGAACATTTTATTCTTCTCACCCTTAAGAAATGAGAAAAACTTGAATTAAAATGGATTTTAAAAGTGAAATGAGTTTTTAGAGATTCTACTATAAAGACCGGACTAAACTGATAAATGTCACCATCACACGCTTCATCATGAAACAAGTTTACAAATTTCTTCATTGAAAGTGAGATCTATATGAGAGCAGAATGTCTTGAGAATGCGAACATAATCTGACCAGGCTTTTACTTTTTATCTGAAAGAGTAAAATGTTAAATAAGAGCACAAAGCAGACAAGTTCTCATCACTTTAATGTGATCGTAAACACACAAAACATACAGTATGATCTGGGAGCTTTCAGTAATGTTTTCAATCAAATCAAATCTGAAATCAACTGTTTTTACAAAAAGATTTGTAATGGAAAGCCTCATTTTATTTGTGCACAAGAAGCCAGTTTAAATACCCACATGGTTGTTGTTTTTTGGCAAGGGACTTAAGTGTAAAACTGAAACTTGTCTATCCATTAAACCACAGTACAGTATGTCTTGAAATATACTCAATCTAGAAAAATACGACTCTAAAAGTGCTCAAGAAACAATTAGCAAACTACAATTTTCTTCCCAAAGTGGCTAAAGAACACGAAAGGGGTTTAAGCGACATGAAATCACAGGCACAGAAAACTTTTAAAACAGATTCTCCTCCATATGCAACAACTAAATATAGAAAGTTTGGTCCTGGTGACCTGATTCTGATGGCAAAAAAATGACACAGGAAAAATGATTTCTAAAATTATAGGGAAACATATAATTTTATAAAGATGTAAGCCAATTACTCTGATATCTTTAAGGCATAATCATAGTTTTAAAAACCTATATTCTGTTTTGTCAGTGTGATTAGACTGTCCAATTATAGTTTTATTTAATATTTATTTAATATTATTATCAGTAAAATTATATAGTAAGAAAAAACATTTACATCCAATTTACAAAGAAAATGTCTTGTTACCACAACTATCTTGCAGACAGCCGCATGTATTCACTAACAACATATACAGTAGTCTGCTGAGGAGGTAGAGCAACTGAGAAATCAGTGGAAGATACATAAATCCGTCAATAAAAAGGACATCTTTATATCAGCGAACGCTCGGCAAGAATTCGCCGAAGGGTAGCGATGGTTGGTTTGTGACACCGACGAGCTGATTTCCTGGATGTCAGCTGTACCGTTACCATAACAGCAGGAAATCACATAAAAAATACATCTGTTCAAGACACTCATGTAGACAGAGAAACACTTCTACCCATAGTGCAGCATATTTCACAGTGAAAATTCAGCACAGTACAATGTTGATCCACCTTTTTGTGGGATTTGTGCGACTGTCGCTGGGTTATGATGAACTGTGGCTACTGTTAGTGTGATTAAAAGGATATAGGCGGTTTGTTTTTAGCGTTGGTCAATATTCCTATTGGTAATAATATTGGGCTGCATAATTAATACAAAAATATTATCAACATTGCAATGTGGCCACGCAGAAGCTGCAACTTTTGATAGAGGTAAAATGTGTGACAAAACAGCATTACAGAGATGCCCTGGCCAACAAATCTCGTTCTCCAGATGTTAAAAAACATTGTGTGTTTGGTACAGACCCTGACAAATGTCACATCAACATGATTTTAATTGTTTTCTGTGAAAATCATTCCCACTAATCGCAAATCAATCATATAATTTTTTCATGCAGCCCTACAATAACAACTTTGTACTCACAAAATTAACTGCTGAGGTCTCAGAAAGCAGAGACATCGCAAGAAATATGCGTAGCCAAACAATCAGACAGGTTTTAAACAAATGCTGCAGGTTAGTCTCTTATTTTAAAGAGACAGCGAAGACAGTAACGACTAACTTCTTCACCTTAGAAATGCCACATTTCTTCCTGTGCAGTGAGGGATTCCACATAAAATGGTCTAAATAATCTGGTTAAACTGCTGGCTTACCGCTTGTCTAACTGTTTGACTGTTCGCAGATCTCAGAGGTTACTTTGGTGAGTAAAAGATGGAAATGGTGAAATGACCAAAACCACAACAATAAGATCCCAGTTGCAATAAACCCAGAATGGCCCTTTAAGTTTACAGAGGTCAGAGCACTTCAGATACCTGAAAGAGAGAGTTGGCATTTGCCCTGACAGGAGTGTTGTTATAGTGTTGTTATACTTTTGGTTCTCCCTCTTCAAAGTTCCCCTCTTAGTCGGGTCGGCAGGTCCTCCTGGTCGATCTTGTTGACCTGTTGGTGCCAGCGGTGGTGTGCCAGCAGGGCCACGTTCCTGGCGGAGATGGCGCTCATCTCCATGGCGCTTGCCGCCCACTCCACAGCGTTGAGGTAGTACAGCCGGTCGTGCAGGATGAATGGAGGGGTCTTGCGGTGCGGTGGGCGGTAAGCAGGGTAAGCCAGCCACCGAGTTTCCGACACCGAATCCCAGGAGACAAACATGTCCTGCAGCTGCTCCTGGGACAGCGGCTGTGGGGAGAACACCTTCCAGACTTTGGTCTGGCTGGCAGGGGGTCGCTTGTAACCCTGAGGGATGTGCACAGGGTCGAGAGAGCTCAGGCTGTTGATGTTACAGCCCTTTGAGTCTGTGGTGAGGACGTCGGACACGGTGAACTCCGAGGCTGGCTCTGTGGTCCCGAGGTAGGACATGTTCAGCATGGCGTGGACCAGGGTGGAGACAGTCTGGTGGAAACGCCCCGGGTAGTGAGACGGGATTGGAGGGGAGAAGCCCGAGAAGGTGATGTCGGACATTCCCTGATGAAGCGCTGTCGCTATTACCACGATGTCATACAGAGAGTGTGCTGAGCCTGACTCTCCAACGTAATTGACCTCATAGAAACTGGTTGTGGCGCCTGAAAGTGGGAGACGGAGGGAAGTTGAGATGAACTGCTTGACATTTAAAAAATATGTGTGAGAAAATGACCAAAATGAAGGAATGTGAATGTTACCTGTCTTGGATGGTCGAACTTTGACTGAGATGGAGGTCACTCTGGCAGGGATGAGCTCACTTTTGCTGTTGTACAGCAGCCCTGAACATACTCTCTTATTGCCTCCGTCCACTGCCCACAGGCCCGGATCTGCTCCTGCTAATGAAACCGCCCCTGGACGACAACACATGCAGAAGATTTCTATTTTACAGCTTTTTTCCAACAGAAAATGTGTATTATTATTAGACGTGTGATGAAACAATCCAAACTCCTACACTGTAACACATACCCACAAAGCCATTGATGCGGACACTTTGGCCATAGTTGACGCGTATGACGGGTGCAACGATATCGTTTAGAAAGACCTGTGAAAATCCCTCGCCAATCATTGTTTCCTCCAGGGTCTGATTCACCATGGTAAGAAAACGATCGCCGCCCATGGCGTGCAGGAGCTTCTCCATGCTGGTGAACGAGTAGCCATACTGCTGATACTGATAGATCCTATAAATAAAAGGATTTAACAAGACATGGAACAGCGACTCTGTGTTGATATTGTCAGATATTGTGCTAAAAGATGGAGCTTTTGGAGCCATGACAACTGCTTTTTCTCCTCACCTCATAAATTTGTCCAAAATACTCTCCACCCACATCTGCATTCGGATAAAGTTAAACCCGTATTGCCACAGCATTCGCAAGAAATTTACTATAAACCAGTCACTCTCCTCATACGTGAGCTCCTTTCCATCAAATATTGCCATTTTAGAGGGGACATCTTTCCTTGGAGGAATACCTGAAAAAAACACAAGCTGGGTTCAAATACTGGACTGCATACAAACTATGGATTCAATTACTCGTATATTTGTGCCGTTTAATTTACGAAATGCTGAGTTTACCTAATTTTTCAATGAAGTGCTTCATGTGAAGGTTCAGAGGGTGAATCACAGCCCCTCCCGCCTCATACTCATAATCTCCGATCTTGACTGTCGCTAGTCGCCCGCCAACAGTGCCGGGTTCAAACACATCAATCTTCACCCCGGCTCCAAACTCCTGCCTCAGGTAATACGCTGCAGCTGTGCCACCGATGCCTGCTCCGACCACCGCTTTAAAGGAGCAATAACAACAGAGTAAACAACAGAGTAAACAACAGAGTAAACAACAGCTCTGCAACAGGTTCATCAGGAATTGTTCTTTTGAGGTTACTGCATGTACAAGTGCATTTAATAATAATAATTTCACCTTCATTTGATTCCTAACACTGGTTATACTGTAGGTCCATCTGCACTCACGCACAGAATAAACATCTTTGCCCAATTTTATTTTATTTGACACTAGCAAATGTACTTTTGTCAAAACAGACACATCTTACACGCTGTATTTTCTTTAAACCTCTTTACTACGGCTGCAGATAATATTGATTTTCATTATAGATTTATCAGCTGATGTTTTGACAGGTTGATAATTATTATTCTAAGATATATACATATATTTTCCTCATTTTGTTTTCCCAGAGCTTTTACTTTTAGTAGCATTTTCAGATCGCTTTTAGTCTGAATAACAACCCAAAACCCCAGAAATCTTAAACTTTAATTATTTAAAACTGAGAATAACAGAGAATCCTCACATATGAGAAGCTAGAACCTGCACATATTTGGCACGTTTGCTCACCAAATGCCTTAAAGTGATTCATCTGTTCTCAGAATTGTTCACTTTCTGCAAATTACCTCATCAATTCAGTTCCCTCTGAGTAAGGCTGATAGTTTTGGTAACAGTAAGATCATCTTAGAAGTCACATACGAGTCAGAGATCCTGATAAATTCATAATTTTTAAGGGTCAAACCAAGAAAAATATCAAATTACTGGTGTTCTTTCATATTGACTCTTACTGATGAATTTGTCTGTATTAAGTATAAAGGATATTTTATTGTAAATGCCATCTCCCCATTGAACTTACATACTGTATCACTGAGTGTAAATATGTGTAAATATAATAAGAAATCAACCCTCTGGGAGGACAAGGCTTTCTGATCCTCCAGTGAAGCAGACTTTAGAAGACCATCAGAACAAACAGGAGGTAATTACAGAAAAGAGTATTGATCTGTACTTGTTGTTACATGCATTGGGACTGTCTTACCTATCTTTTTGGGCTGATCCTGCAGCTCTGGAGCTGAGGCTAGACTTCTTCTGCCAGAGTGCCAAAGCCCCAGGAACAGCAGCGCTCTCAGTGACAGGGTTTGTGGATTCATTGTGGGCATCAAGGTTAGTCCTCTGCACTATGGAGCATCTGTACAGGAGGAATAAACCAGATCCACGATCAGTCTCTTATCAGTCTTGGTCAAAGGTTACACTCACAGGACTTCACACCAAGAAAAACAAGGACATAGAAACACAGATTATTATAAAGTGGAGACAAACGCTTTTATGTCTATTGAAGTCTATAAAGTGGTAACAGTGACCGGTGTGGACTCACTATTTCAGAAGTCACTACAGGGCTGCTGTTTGGTCCAGAAGTAGCCTTCACAGAGTTAAACCTCGCCGTTTACACAAAGACAGCTTTAAAACTTGGTAACACCTTCTCTCTGTCTACTTAAACGGGAAAGTGAACTGTCAACAGAAGCTACAATGAGACCAGAAAGTGATAATAACTAACTAAACCTGTTTTAAACGGTTGAATAATGTCGGAGCACCGGGGACGTCTCTAAACGTGGAGGAACACTTCCGGGTACGCTCAGGTTTGAGTTTCACAATAAAATGCTTTAAAAATGCAAACGTTTATACATTATAAGTATATTATAGTGGCAAAAGAAAAAATAGTCCATATTGTTGTATTTATTGTACAATATCCTTATGGCTTATATAAAACTTTTATTTAATCAGGTAATATTAAAGTCAATATCTCACCTGAGTACAGTAGATTGAATAATTACAATACAATATTCACACAAAAGCACATCTCTTAATAGGTCCAAAGTTATAGATCTCCTCCAGACACATTTTAAGACATATAAAAACGAATGAAGAATCTGTTTTTTCCTCAAAAAAGTTCAATTACCTTGTTAAACATTCTCAAAATTACATCTATACCTATTCCCTCCAGAGATCTGTTCTGGTAAACAGTAGTAATATCAACCTTTATATACAAACAATTATAAGTTCTCTTGTTGAT